ATTTATAGATATATTGTAGATTAATCTTGATGTGGAGTTTAGTCGTTCCTTTTAGATTGTAGATGGCGCTACTGTCCTTAGGGTTTAAATTCAAGGATATCGTTTAAAATGGATCGTTAATACCAATTGATCTAATCAGTTTGGATCTTTTATTTTCAAGCCATTCTTCGGCACGAATGGGTCGGCTCGACCGAAGTTACCACGGCCTCATAGAAAACCGGCAAGAAACAACTACAGCGTTGTGTTTAGCCGTGTCCAATCCTTCCCCTCCCCAATGCCTAATCCCAAACGGTCGGCAACGCACTCGTAACTCCTCTGTTGTTGCGGGGGTCCATGGGCGGCGAAGATTGCTTACTATCAGGTAACCAGTCTGTTCGTTTTTCCACATAAAAAAAACTCATTTACTCCTTGACAAATTCAGTTGAGTTTCGTGTGATATCATTCAAATGTTTTTTTCTTTTAATAGTCTTTGGACGGTGGCGCATCTTAATGGGGGTTTCCATTTTTTTGCTTACTAGATGGATTGTATTTTCATGCAATACGGAAGTAGCTTTTGTCACGCCACTGGTCGTTCACTTTTTAAGACCTACACTGATTGGGCAACTACTACTTTTCTTTCGTTTTTGAAAGCTTTGCCCCTCTTTAGGATTCTCTCCTATGTCGTGCCTGCTTTTACAAACATACAAAGTCACATACACAATCCTTGTGTATGTGACTTTGTATGTCACAACAACAATTTGTGGATCAAACAAAGTGTTGATGTTCCGTGCGGGAATCGAACCCGCGACGTGTAGCACAGCAGCCTAGTCACCGAGCCAGGCGTGCAGTCAAATACGCTAGTTTCCAACTAGAAAAATTCAATACTTTTATCGAAGTTTCAAAAACGATTATTTCTTTGTATGAAATATCGCGTTATGACGTAATAATATTTCATATATTATTACGTCATATAATATTTCATATATTATTACGTCATAACGTCATATAGCTTACTCATTTCTCTTAGATTAACAATAAAAACACGCATATTAAATATATTGTAAAATTAATTAAGAAAGCTTTGGTCGATTATCAGTATTTTTATGGTTTTATACGTTAAAATAATTACTTTTTCGCTGAGGCAACTAGCCAATTGACCTATTTTTATAATAACGCAATCTAGCGTAAAAAATTGATAGCCCCCATATAACAATTTTTCTTCCATCTATGTATCTTGCCCTTTTATTGTTATTTGCGACAGTTTATGTATATACACAGTCAGATTTAAGCAAAAAAGAAGTTTATCTACTTGTAAAATGTTTATTTGTAAATATTTTTAGCTGTAAGACGAATTCCAATACTTGTTGTAATTTTTATTATTGTGTGTAGTTGTTAACTCCGGAGATAATGTCGATCGTTGTCGATTCGGAATTAAAAATAATTTAAAGCTACTTTTGTCAACATTGTTGTAACATTTTTGAACAGTGACTATCGTGGGACATACCTTATTAATTGAAAATAACGATTTACTCATTTGAGTAAACTGAGAAAAGCTCTAATAGTTTCCCCAACGAAAGTCCCAACGGGACCTTGCACAGGCAAGCCACAGAATTGGCTGCGCAACGTCGGCGTCGCCGCGACGCGTACGCTTCTAATGAATAAAGTCCCGCTGTGAATTGAAACTAGTTGTCGCACCACTAGGGGATAGTAAATTAGTGGACTGTCTGTATGGATTTGATAGGCGCGGTTTATTTCCTTTCTAATTACAAATTAAAAGATATCGCGAACAAACAATTAATTTAAATTAAAGCGAATGTGAGTGAGGTAACCGGAGGCCCAATCCTTTCCCTCCCCCAATCCCTCCTCAATCCCTAAATCACCAAGTCCCTAATATCTAAAAGGTCGGCAACGCACTCGTAACTCCTCCGTTGCGGGTGTCAGTGGACGGCGCTGATTGCTTACCATCAAGTAATCGGCCTGTTCGTTTGCCGACCTATTACATAAAATAAATAAAAATAAAAATATGTCGACCGTCGTCCGTGATGTCCAAGCGCGAAGACGAAAAAAAAGTCTCTGCCCCTCTCGCTCCGTTACCCCCTCGCCGCACCGCGCTCCGCCACAAAGCTCGCCACGATGGCTCATAAGAAAGTAGGCGGCCGCTATCGCGTCTGCAGAGGGTATGTTATTTGATTCCCAACACTAGTAGAGCTTTTCTCGTTTTTTCAATTGAGTAAGTCGTTGTGAATTCCTAGATAAGCGACATCTGGTGAGTGGAAAACGATAGCCTTCGGTCCCTCTTGTGCAGTCACACTCCTACCCTCCTTCACTCTATTGAGTGACAGAGTAAGAGGTACAGTAAAACCCCAATGAAAGCGGTCAGATGTAGCTTGTCTATCTCTTTTTATGTTGTCTATCATAATGTGTGCGTTCCAACTAAATAAGTGAAGCAATGTTTTCAGTTTAAAAAAAGAATTTGAATGGTGTGGTGTTGCCAGATCTCCTAGTTTTGTTATAGTAAAAAATATAATGTTATATTTTTTTTTATTCTTAAAATACTAGTGTTTTTGTTTAGACCTTTATTTATTGGTGCTTATAAAGTCTTCGTGTACAGATTCCAAAGTTATATCATTAAAATGTTTTTAAGTCTGGCAACATTACTACAGAGCGTGTTTTGTTGGAGTTACAACGTTGCTGTAGTTTGTTAAAAGTGTTTTTTCCTAAAAGTATTTTAAGAATAAATGATTTTTAAGTGTCAAGTCTGTTTGTTGTTTTACTGTTTTGTTTTTCAGCTTTTATTAATTGGGTTATCGTCTTTTAGGCCATATAACAGTTATTATTGCTCTACCGCCCAGATGTATTCTTAAGAAACAAACCTTAATGTTAGGGAGGTTTATTTTAAAATGAATTTTAGATGTAAACATACATAATTGTTATGAGGCTCCGTGACCTCGGCCTAGAGCAGAAGGAACGGGGGGTTTTAGTCAATAAAAGTCTGACAAACCCTCCCGCCCCTCTGGGCGGGAGAAGTAATTTGATCATTTTCCTCTCACAAAAAACAGCATACACAAGGACATAGGGACAGAGAAAGCGACTTTGTCTTATACTATGTATTACGGAGGGCAGCAAATAAACTACTCATATTAAGAAAAAACCGTCAAAATTCATAAAAACATTTTTATTAACAATGTAAAACAATTATATACAGCTTTTTTAAGTTTTCTTTTCTTCAACTTACAGTCGGCGAAATAAAGTTATTTAATGGATGAAGAATGAAACTGCTTTGTAGAGTGCTTACTCTAAATATTACTATTAGTAGCTATAAAGCTTATAGCATTGATCGGGCGGCATGATTCATTGTGCCCTTTTTTTGTCAGGGGAAAATCATCCAATGACTTTTCCCGACACACCCTCTCGCCCCGGGCTGGGCGAGAGGGTGTGTCAGACTCCGTTCCAGAAACCTCCCTGTTCCTTCTCCTGCTCTGGGCCGAGATCGCGGTGCCTCATTGCGCTTACCCCGCAACCTCAGCTGAACATCAGCCCTATTGGGCCCCGTCTGTGGTGGTCTATTGGCTCTTTGAGGCGCGCGCGGAACGCTACGCGTCGTACGCTCGGGTCTGGTTCTGGTCGGGCGGTGAGCTACCCTTACTCGCCGTCCGCAGACCCGCGCTTACGGTGGCCGGAGATCATCTCTCGATCCCCGACGCCCGGAATGTCGCCCTCTGCGGCGGCTGATTCATTGTGCCCTAAGTTCCTAAGTTGCGATGGATTGGGTTATACGATTGCTGTTAGGCTGTTCGTGTCTATATTAGCGTTCCGTGCGCCTCGAAGAGTCAGTAGACCATCATAGACGGGGCCCTACAGGGCCGATGTTCAGCCAGGGTTGCGGGGCTAGCGCAATAACACTTTCATTACCACTACGATTTTTACAATGATATTTTGGACGCGTACATTTAAGGCCGCTATCCCACGGACGGTAATGCTGCGCAAACGCAACGTTGACGTCAACGCTAGTAAAATGCCTAGTGGTTAGTTCAACGTAAGGCCGCTAGCCTTACGTTGAACTCGCCGGGCGAGTCCACGGCGCTGGAATAAAATTTACGTGGACTCTCTGAGCGAGTCGGTGGCACTAAATGTATTAAGGTTTCGCAGTCTCGGCGTAAAGCTGGAGAAGGAACAAGGATGTCCTTAGCAAGAGTCTGCCTCACCCTGGACGTGAGAAGTAATTGGATAATTTTCCCCTCACATAAATAAAAGGCTGTGATTGTCCCTAAATCGGACGATGGATATTGCCTTGCCCGACCGCCCCTAAGTCCCAATGAATCGTGCTGCCTGATCACTGCCTTATAGCCTAAGTACAGAAGAGCGCCTATTAGGACTTTGCTACATGTAAATGCGTTGTGTTCATCAATAGAAAGTCATTACGAGAATGAACATCAAATTCCCTATTAAAACAAGTTAAATCCTACCCATATTTTATTTATAGATCTACTATGTAACATGTACAGACAGAGGTAAATTTAATCAAGCAAATATTATTAAGTGAAACAAAATGAAGAAAAATTTTGTTTTAAACTACCTATGTATTATATAATTAATGAATAAAATTATAAGTTGGGTATTTTATTAAATGCTAAAAATATACGTTGTTATTGTATATCTATTTAGTTCTGATAGAACATGTTTTTTTTATAGATGTTTTTGAATATGAGTTACTATTACCTATATCGTAAGACAAACTTACTATAGTTATTGAAAATAACGACAACGTACGTGAATAGATGACTGCACGGTGGACGCGGTAGTTGGGCAACGAGTCGCGGTTTCGATTCCCGCACGGAGCAACTGTTTGTGACATCAGCAAATTGTTGTTTCGGATCTGAGTGTGATATGTTTGTAAATGACCAACACCTAGGTTCCCAATAGAACCTTTACTAATATTATAAAACTGTAGTTTTTTTAATTACTTCTGTTTCTAATTAAGCAATTCTTTTTATGTTTGTTAGTCGCCTATAGGCCTACAGGCTTATAGTTTATAAAACATCACGCTACGATCTGCAGGACACGAGCAGGGGCTAAAACTTTGAGTAGCTTTTTTAACAATAAAATACCCAACTCAAATTATCTACATAAAGTTAATAACTATTTTAAATATAACCCTATCATACTGACTAGACCAATTTATTTGTTTTGTAGTGACGGTGACAAATTCCTTCCGAGTACATTCTCTTTGTATTTCAATTTCTGAACATTGGTCGGGTCACTTAAGACATCTTCATCTATCAATCGTTCCACTCTTTGATCTTGTACTGGTTCTGAAATAAAGTTTAAAAATAGGAAGTGTAATTAAGGCTAAGGAGATTCAGGCAGGATCGAATCCAGTCAGCGCCGCCCATGGACACCCGCAACAGAGGAGTAACGAGTGCGTTGCCGACCTTTTAGGCATTAGAGTTTTGGGGGAGGGGATGGACTGGGCCTCCGGTAACCTCACTCATACGGCGAAACACAACTCTGAAGTTGTTTCACGCCGCTCGTGCCGAAGCATGGCTCTGCCGCACATATCTCGCCGCCGGTATTATCAAATACTTACTGTGAAGAAAAACATCTGGAGATTGCCAGCAGTAGCTTTTGCAGGTTACGGACTACAGGATTGGGCATTAGATTGGGTCTCGGTCTCACGCCGCCGGTATTTCACGCCGGTTTTCTATGAGGCCATGGTGTCACTCCGGTCGAGCCAACCGATTTGCGTCGAAGCTTGTTTCTCCCACAAACATCACGCCAGTATCACCAGATACTTACTGTTATAAGGAGTATATCTGTCAGATAATAAACTCTCCAGGTTGTATCCTATGACGCCAACCACAGCCGCTACTGGTAATGTGAAGTATGGAGCATTTGTTCTTAGGAACTGCATTATAATTGGCCACATCTGGAAGTAATTGAGATTTTTTGTTATCAGTATCTTATTTGGCAATTAACAAAAAATTTTAAAATATTCTACAGCTGTCTTAGCTGTAGAATATTTTTAATTTTTTTTTCTTAAAAATCTGCCCTACTAACATACACCTCACAAACATACAATTTCAAATTCACACCACACCCAAACCTTGAACAATACGACTTCTCTCGCCCTGAGCAAGCTACCAAGACCCGTTCCACATAAAAATTAAACAAAATTGCAATTCATGGCGGTCCCAGTAAGATGAAACTTGATTGCTTAATATGTATACTGACTCAGGTATATCTTGTATTTCTTTATGAAAATTAAATGTCTACAACACTGCAGAACTTTCAACTGGATCAACTGGATAAAAGTTACTAGGAACTGTAGATTAGATGAGGTTTTAAAGAAAACCCTTAGATCAGAAGTCACACTTAAGATTGATATGCAAAATGAAGTGTAAATTGTAAACTCTAAATAGATCCTACTTCCTACTAAAATTGTTATAATGAGATAATTTTATAAGTAAGTGCTACTAATGCTTGTTATCGTGTCACATATACAATACAGAATTGATATTACTGAAATAACTTCAAATAACACAAGCTTCTTTCACCTGGGTTTTGTAGCCAATAATGTTGGTAAGAAACTAGTTATCAGATTCATAATGGAGTTAAATGGGTGCTACATTTTTGAACATAAAATATAATCAACTGGAATGTATCCTCTGCACTTGCAGTGGACCCTATTAATCATAATGATGTTTACCACAGCCCCCTTACACTTGCATGCACTTTAGGAGTGATTTATTTTTGCAGTCAGTCTTATTTCACACTAAGACTGACTTTCAAAGTCAACAAATTAGCAATGACAGTATTGTTGACTATCAAATAGCCCTTTAATGAAGCTATTTGATCGCTCCAGAATTTAAAATTCTTATAAAGAGTTAGAAGCAAGGAACTTCATGGTTACTTTTTCTAAAATCGTCAATTAATTCATATTTAATTTATTATCATCATAGGCCGACTGCTGCATAACAAACGGCCCGACTAATGTTCGCTACAGGAATTGAAATAAATGACTCAAAATCTGCTGGTGGATTTCTTGGCCGTATATATATAAAAAATGGAAAATATCTGTATTTCTAAACAATTTTTAAGGTTATGTAAGCGGTTGATAAGAGATTTCCTAAGTATTACACAAAAAATAATAATACATTTATTGCAAATTACTTACTTTTGAAGCGAGAAATAAGTTTTTCCTTCTAAAAGTTTAAATAATGCACTGTTTTTGTTAAAACAGATATTTTCAACAACAAACTCGCCGATTTTAGTACAACAGCTGACTTACTGACATAGATTTGACAGAGCTTATAAATGTCAAAGAAACATTTGACTTTGACATTCTTTGTCCAGTTCAGAAATTCCCGTTAGGGTTGGTTAACAATAAGATACGATGCGAAACGACGTTATTGAGAGGTCAGTGACTATTGTGAAGTCATTCTTCTATGCGACATCTACTTCTATCGTGCCTGGTGACTCGCGGTAAAGCCTAAAGTCGATTGCAAAACGGCGTGGCTCTTTCTCTCAAAACGAACAGATATTCTAAACTTCAAAATGATGTCACGGACCACGGTACCCTCTTTAAACTATATAATTTTCTTTACATCCTCACGTAAAGTGGACAAGTTTATTATGAATTACGATAAATTCGAGTAGCTAATATTGAATCGATTGATTAAGTTTTGACCTAGGTATGGTACGCTAATATGATTTAACGAATATACCATATTTATTATGATTACATAAATATTGGGCTAATATCTATCTCAATCTTGCACGGATCAATAAATAGTTTCCATGTCTAAACAAAAAATACTTTTTGAACGAAAATTTTACTTTTCAAACGTCAAAAAATCTAATAAATGTCAAGATTAAAAACATAACCTCAAAACGTATCGGTATCCGTGAAGTAAATAATGCTACAAAAAGCAAAATAACAAAGAAATACTAGATTGGTTTTTTGAAAATGTCGCAAACACACCTCTTGAAGTGTTTATCTAGGCTTTGCATAGCGAGAAACGAGCCGAATTATTTACGTAATAATGTTGCATTTTTGGTTAGGAATAGTTCTACTAAAACTTCGAAACAGAAGACTGCTTCTTCTGTGTACCGTGCTATGAATATATTTGATAGGAAAGCGAAGGCTTTGCAAAGGGAAAGGTCAGCCAGAAGAGAAGATTATCACTTAGCTGAGTATATAAAAGAAGAGATTGGTTGGAGGACCGCCGATCGCATTTTGGACATAAAAAGAGTGTTTAAAAATGCTGTAGAACTTGGTACGTTCTTTTTATATTGTATTTCAGTTTTTAACTAAGTTATCGTAAATATAAAAAGGGTTTTCCTTATGTTTTCTGTCAAAAACAATAATGTAGACACCTAAATAGGTTGGCTTTTGTTTACGCTTTTTCTAACTTGAAAATTAAGCATGAGGATTTCAATTGGATTGATGGACAGTAGATTGTTAAGGTGCATAGATGTTTTTTAATTGGTGTATATATTAAATATTATTTACAACACTTTTGAATATGTTTCAGGAGCAAGCCGTGGTTATGTATCCCGTCACCTACTACCAGACAGTGTAGAGAAGGTGACACTATGTGATACTTCAAAGACACACCTGGACAAAGCTATTGTTGGAGACGGAGTCAAGTTTGAAAAGATTGTTATGGATGAGGAGAATATTGATGTATGTTTGTTTGTGTTTTTTTTTGTTCTTTTTACCATCAAAGCTACGTAATAAAACAACAAATTACCTGTGGATAGCTTCAGGTTTTTACTAGTTGTGGACCACATAATTATAATGTAGTGTATTTTACAATGTAGTCTAATTGAAATTTGAATATCAGTGAAACTCTCCTTTCAATTTTATTTTCATAGTTTTAAATAATAATAATTTAGTTAATCGCCCCAGAATAACATCCGAGGTTCCATTTATTGGGACTCTTAGTGTTGATCTTTGGTTGGTGATAATTATTTATCATCATGCTTATAATCTGTATGTTTGTGTGCCCCCAAACACGTGAAAAACAACAGTGATTTTAATGATGTTATTTTTTAGTTTCCAGAGAACAGCGTAGACTTGATTGTGTCATCTTTAGCTCTGCACTGGGTGAATGACCTACCAGGCTGCTTCGATAGAGTCATGAAGTGTTTAAAACCTGATGGGGTTAGTGAAATCAAAAGTCATTTTTTTTAATTTAGGGCTAATAGAATTGTTGCTGTCACTGTCTTATACAAACATTCTGATGCAACAGCATCATAAATTGTTCCCCAGATAACTTTTATCTTACCATTGAAAAATCAGCCCTTAGTCATGAAATTTATTTCTAATTACGGCCAACAGATGGCATTTTCATATACTATTACAAAAAGTTCACAACCCTTATTTCTATAACTATCTTTAAATTACTTATTTTAAGTAAGTTATAGTTAAAATTGTTTAAAAAATTACATTCAATTCATTCAAAATTTAATGTTAATTTTTCGAATCGAGGAATAAAACTGTAGCTGTCACTATCTTATACATACAAGCATTCTGACGCGACAGCATCATGATATTCCCCAGGTAACTTTTCCTTCAGCTCTTAATGTGATTAATGTGACGGTTTCCAGGTGTTCATGGCGTGCGTTTTTGGCGGGGACACGCTAATGGAGCTACGTCAGGCGCTGCAACTAGCTGAGAGCGAACGTCTCGGCGGCATATCCCCACACGTCTCGCCTTTCACAAGAGTTCGAGATATCGGGGGGTTGTTGTCTGCGTTAGTATTTATTACTAGCTACTCTCGCGCGGTTTCACCCGTTGCTCAGATCTATTTGATCGTAGCGTGATGGTTTATAGTCTATAGCACTCAGGGACATTGTAGCTACCTATCAGTGAGAGAATTTTGGCAATCCGACCAGCGGTTCCAAAGATTATCCCCTACATACAAACATACAAATTTTACCTCTTTATAATATTAGTATAGATCTACTATCTAAGCTTGAGAGAGCCATGCTTCGGCACTAATGGGTCGGCTCAACCGAAGTGATACCACGGCCTCACAGAAAACCGGCGCGAAACAACCACAGCGTTGTGTTTCGCCGCGAGAGTGAGGTTACCGGAGGCCCAATCCCTACGCTTCTTCTTATTCCTCCCCAACCCTTAAATATCCAAAGGCATACGTAACTCCTTTGGTGTTGCGGGTGTCCATTTTCGGCACTGATTGCTTACCATCAGGAAATTCGTCTGCTCGTTTACCGAACTATCCTATAAAAAAATATATATACATAGATTTTTAAAAATAACCATAGAATTAAATGTTTTTGGATAAGGTGGCATACAGATGTGGGTAGACGGATCACCTGATGGTAAGCAAGCCACGCTGCCCAAAGACACCATATAATGATGATGATGATGCTTTTGATAATAATTTTATAAGTTTTTCTTTCAGGAGTGGGTTCACGTTGCAGACTGTAGATGTGGACTCCATAGTAGTGTGGTACCCGAGCATGTGGGAGGTAATGAGGGATGTGAGGGCCATCGGAGAGGCTAATGCAGCCCACAACCGACCGCTGAGGATCTCTAAAGAGGTGCAGTTCGCCGCAGCCAGTATTTACGATGAAATGTATGGGAAGGTTAGTCATTAGTAATAATGTATTTTTCTATAATAACTATCGTGAGACATACTAAATTAACTAAAAATCGCGGGTTACTCACGTGTACATATTGAGAAAAGCTCTACTAGTTTCGAACCACAGAGGGGTTCTTCCTCATGAACAGCGTGCGCGGACGCGGCGACGTTGCGCAACCTACTGGTTAGCGTTGGCGCCTGCATCGCTGTTGATGCCTACAAATTTTAATATCCGTAACCGAAATTATTAGTTATTATTTTTTATTTTTTTATTAAGGATTGAGCCTTCGATGACCTCAATCACAAGGCTAACCACACTTGGAAACTTTCACTAACTATTGAGAAATTGATATATCTATTTACACGTTAACATCGTTTTCTGATACGGGCAAAGCATAATTGAGTATTTTTCGGTTATTAGAAAAAGCTTTTGCCCTCGACTCCGTTCGCGTGAAATAGTGACTTCCTGCAGATTTTTGGTATAAAAACTATCCTTTGTCCTTTCTCGTAGTTCCAAACTATGTCTGTACCAAATTCCACAGTAATCGGTCAAGTAGTTTAGGCGTGAAGAAACGACAGACACACAGAGTTACTTTCGCATTTATAATATTAGTTTGGATTTCTTAAAATGCACCGAGTTTTTCTGGTCGATGTATGATAATAGGTTCAACAACCTTCTATTATATAATCGAATCCAGATTAAAAGTGGTTGGTACATAATATGGGTGTGGCTCTTTCTTATCTGCTTTCACCTGGTTCTTCGAGAGCCTTAGGAGGGACAAGAGGGCGTCTCAGATATCTACTGATTGAAAACCTCCCCTTTCCTTCTCTAGCGGGGACCCTGGTTAATACGGTTGTTTCCAACTAGTCAAATTCAATACTTTTATCCAAATGTCAAAAACGATACTTTGCTATGAAAATTCTATGAAACATTGAATTATGACGTCATAGCATTTTTGCGTCAAATAGCTTACTTATTTTTAAAAAAATAGCAAAAAAATATCTAAAACTTAGTGTATCGATCGATCGATGAATAAAAGTATAGTTATTTTTCAATATTTTATCGTATTAAAACGTCGAATTAATTTATTTTTGACCTAGGAAACTACCCAATTATTAAGCTTGCATTTTTCTATCCCCACACACAATAAAAAGATGTAACATTAATTAATCTAGCTAATTTATACTTATAATTTCCATTTTCAGGAAATGCCAGACAAGAAAGTACGCGGTGTGCCTGCTACATACCAGATCATAAACTTTTTGGGTTGGAAACCAGACCCCAGCCAACCCATACCCAAAGAAAGAGGCACTGGTCAGGTCTCGTTAAAAGACCTACACAGAATCGATGAAATTATCGACAAACCAAAAATTGTGAAACTGACTGAGGAAGATATGAAATAGATTTTTTTTGACCTGATGGTAAGCAATAAGCGCAGCCCATGGACGCCCGCAACACCAAAGGAGTTAAGGGTGCGTTTTCTTTTAGGGCTATAGGTTTCGGATATTTAAGGATTTGGGGGAGGGGGAGGGATAGGGCCTCCGGTAACCTCACTCACACGATGAAACACAAGGATGGGGTTGTTTCACGCCGGTTTTCTGTGAGGACGTGGTATCACTCCGGTCGAGCCGATCCATTCGTGCCGAAGCTTGGCTCTCCGGTCTCCCACACTTAGATTGTACAAGAGATATTTAATTTTAAAGTGGTATTCAAAGTCAAAGTCAATGTCAAAATCATTTATTTAAACTAAACCATAAATATATGTATTGAAACGTCAACATAGAATAGTAGTCTGTCAGTCTGTTCGTCAATTCGTCAGTGAAGCTAGGTGCTCGTTCCAAATTAAACATGTGACACTTTAGATATACGAGGAAGAGAACTTCGAGTTTTGACTTAAAATTCTAAGCTTGAAATCGCCAATCCGCCTTAAGCAAGCGTGGTGATTAATGCTCATTATTTCTTCGTGTGAGACGACCTTTGTCTAGGCGGGATTTTGGCTGGCGGAACTATGAGTAGCTATTGAACATCTCTGCCTATACCCTTTTCATAGAGAATTATTTATGTTATTTTGAGATAAGGATGTAAATATATTAAGTTGTAAATAAGGTTTGTTGTTGTTATTAAAAAAAATGAATATTCAGTGTTTTGTTTTTTTTTGCCGACCAAGGGGTTTATACGTTTCGTTTTTTTATCATGGTGAGAATCGTTTAGTATATTTCTTTTCAAAAACTCTTGAAAGTAGAATAGGTATTAAGTTATGGATAGGTAAGTCTAATATAGAACCTTTAAGGTAACTGTTGAGTATTTGATATTACATCCTACTAATACTACTTGTGTTGACGCGGAAGTTTTAGGTAAGTATGGATTGGTGGTGGTTGCTATTTTGTTTGAGGGGGTTAATCAATAAGCGACTTCTCTCGCCCAGGTTTTAATTTTGGATAAAAATAGCAAATCATTAATATATGAAAAGAAAAACGGACCAAATATCGAACCTTGCGGAACGCCTATCGTTATCTCAAAGCCCTGTGAGTTAATTTTATATCAAAATAAACATTTAGCTGCTTACGCTTTGAATATGATGTCAACAGACGAAGTGTAGTGTCACATTCCGTATTAATTAAATTTCAGCAAAGTTCCTAAAAAAAATATTTCCTATACTCGGAATTTTAATTCCATTCCAGATTTGACAATTTCAGTGTTGCAACGTTATGACACGTAATAAATAGTGACGTTGCGAAATTATTCGATATGGAAATCGAATATTTCTGAATCGATTCCTCTCGTTTATAAATTTAATCTCGTAAACTAAGTTTATCAGGAAATAAAATATTTCTGAACCGATAATTTAGTTTTGACAATTAATTAACGACCTGAGACTTTTCTTTTGTAATTGTGTGTGAAATTAATAAAAAATGTGATAATGAAGGAACATGACAAATAAAACAGAAATTTTATAAATTTTCATCGTCATCGCTATCGCTGTTACTTTCTGTAACATTTATTATGAATTGTCTGTGATTTTATTGTCAATTAACATATCTAGCTTACTCATTTTTTCCTCTTCTTTGACAACATGGGATACGCAATTAGACCATTCGGTAGCCGTAATTTTTTGAATGCCTACCTGAAATTGATTCACTGATTGTTTATCGATTTTTGTGTTCATCACTACACTGTTACATGTGGTATCATTATTTCACAAAATGACAATAGGTCATGTCAAATCAGGAATCGAATTAAAATTCTGACTATACATTGAATTGACACTGGCAAAGCCATTGACATGCAAAATGGAATGCTTATTAAAATGATAAAACATCAGGGTTGCACCAACTTTTCAAATACTTTTAAGTGTCACCATTTTTGAATAGTCGGCATAATTTTTTGTATTGCGTTAAGTTCATATAGTCTTTATTGCATATGTCAGCACTGTAATATTATAAGCAATCATGGTAAGGTCCCAGGCACCACTTAGCTCGCTCTCAGGCTCGCTCTATCGGTTTTCGTGTCGGCTAATGTTAAATATATAGCATGGTATAAAATAATTAGAAATTATTCAGTTACTTAGTGTTAAGCAACTATTCATTTAGGTATATAGGTTTGACATAAAATAAAACTAAATGATTCAATTACAAACACATTCATGTTTAATTACATAAATAACATAAAAGAGTAAGAAAAAAATACGAATATCGATTTTATGAGTGTAGACTCGAACTGTTTAACAGTTCTCAATCTAACTCTGCTGACAGCTGCTCTGCAAAGGAAGTGGAGAATGACTGTTTGTCCATATTTTCTCTTTGTATTGACGCTGTCTCAAAAAAGCCGCTGCGTTCTTCAACGAAAGGCCGTTATCTAATACCGCCACTGCAGTTGCAGCTATAGCGGATACTGTTACCGCAACCATGGCGTCTTCCGTCAGGTCGTAGTATTTGTATAAATGTTAATTCTCGGTCATACTCCAAATCCGCGTAGTAACATGTGCAGCGTTTCTCGGTAATATTCTGTGCGGTAGATACTCGAACCAGAATCGTGGCGTACCGTTCCAGGAGGAAGACGTCAATTCTGCGCCTATCGTCTCGTAGAACCTCGTGGCTTTGAATATAATTATCGCCGCGGTCTTTTCTTCACATAACTCTTCTCAAGCGGCTTCCACCAAACCCACATGCAGCATATTTTTGTCACCACCGAGTTTATCGTTGTTATTTGCAATAGCATTAAAGCTGTTTCCAATTGTTCAAATTTCATTGACGATATTTTTACACTGTTAGATGACGATATGGTCTTCTCACCGTCAGCAGCTGGGGGGGGGAGGACGCCCGATCCAGGCTGATGCGTGTCCAGTGGTCGGGCGGGGCGACTGGGTCTCGCGGGAGTTCGAAGTCGTCAGGAAGGCGCCGGTAGTATGGCGTGAGCTTCCGGTGGTCGTGCCGCGACCGGTCGTGGTGCTCATGTGGTGTTGGCTCTATTAAGTGCCGGGGAGGTGCACGCCACTGTGCTTGCCTTCGGGTTGCGCGTTTCGCGGCGGAACACAGGGCACGTCGAACTGTTCGCCGTGTGTGCTCCTCCGCAATTCGCGCAGGTCGGCGGCTCTTCCCTCGGGCGAGGGCACTCACTGGCCGGGTGTGCCTCGCCACATCGCACACAGGCTATGCGCCTGTGGCAGTTGCGCGACGAGTGCCGGAACTGCTGGCAGCGGTAACATTGAGCAGGGCCCTTCTTGCCCCGCCACGCCTCGATTTTGATCCCGGGAATGCTAAGCAACTCCGTCACTCCGTAGATGCCCGGGATGGTGTTCTCCGTGCGCGTTACCTGGGCGTAATATAGACACCCAGGTCGTCCCTTGCATGCGCGGATAGAGCGGACGTATTCAGCGCTATAGCCAGCGTCGCGCAGCGCCTCTTGGATTGCCTCCGGCGGGGTTTCGGCCGGCAGCCCTCTTATGGCCACCTTGATACTCCGCTCCGCCGGATGGGAGTAGGAGAACCAGGCGATTCCTTGGGTTCTCTCCAGGTCGGTAAGGAGGGCCTGGATGCTCGTATACTCCAGTTCGGAGCGAGGCATGAACCGTATTCCTTCGCCGAAGGGGCGCGCGTTGGGCGCGTGTCCGAGCTGCCTCTTCAGTGTCCTGAAGTGCTCTATCCAATTTGGGAGCTTCTCCACTATGAGGGGCGGGTATCGCGCCTTGGCGGCAGGGGCGCTCGGTGACCCGGGTGCGGGGACGTCGGTGTTGCCGGCGGCGGTAATGTTTGTTCCGGTCGAGGTGGTGGCGTGGCTCGCCGCAGGGGCGGGGGTGTCGGTGAGGGCGGGGGCAGCGGCGGCTACATAAGTTGTTGGGGGCGTAGCGGCACGTTGAGGCGGCGCAAACGGTGGCAGCATGGGAGGCGGGATGAAGAGCAGCGTTCTGAAGGCGGCCTGCCGCTTGCCGCACCCCGGCAGGATGTTGTCCGGGGGCGCGGGAAACATGTGTGCAGCGCGCGAGGGCGCAACGCTTGGGTGCGGCGGATGTACAACACCGGCGTCTCGGCAAGCGATGGCGGGTAGTGGGGCCAGCGCGCTCATGGGCTCCGGCGCCTTGGTAGGTCTCTCCGGTGCGGAGGTCGAGGAGGTCGAGGAGGGCGGGGGTATCAATTGCTCCCCTGCCTCTCCAAAGCTTCCAGTAGGAGTGACGCGCCCCTGGCCCTGCCTATTGCGACCGGGTCTGGTGGAGCGCGGCGGCACTGCTCCACGGCTTCCTTGAGGCATCATAGCAGTCGGTGGCGCGAGAAGCAAGCAGTTACCATAGTAATGACGTTCACTCCACGACAGTCTTGACAGCAATAACCGTGTGTATCGACGACGGGTGAAGCACTAACAGGGGATAATTACTTGGCAGGTATATTTTGTTAAAGATAACGTTTAGAGTGGGGCCACCGTTCGTACTGTTAGACAGACGCACGTGGCGATTTGCGAAGTCTTCTTTAGTAATAAAGTTGCCATTGTTCCGTGGGAACAATAATATGAGGAAGTACTAACCTTATCTGTAGCTTTTGTTTTCATACGGTGGTATTCATTTGTTTGTTAAACTAAGTACAAATTTGGATTTTATGGTAATATAATATGCCCAATGATATCTTACAACAAAAACTGAGCTGAAACCACATTAAAATTACTATTGTCTAATGTGATAGGTACCTAAAAATACCGTCGTGTTGAAAACAAACTCCTAACTTTTGACCGTTAAAATGACGTCTATAAATAAATATCATTACGTTGCATGTCGTCGTTAAGCAAGAAGACTAATTTATTACTTTTTACAATTGAAAATAATATAACTTAAAGAATCGAGCTATTGACTTCGTCAAAATAACATTTAAAAAAATGAATGAAAATGGAGGCTTCCGGCGACTGGGACCACTCATAAATGATAACTGAAATAAAAAAATACAATCAACCGATTTTTTTTTGATGTAGATCACAAATCAAGAAAAAAAAATTTTTTATTTAAAAACATTGTATAGATGTAAACCAACTCCTTGAAACCTACCTTAATTCAATTCGTATCCATTCCAAATAACACATAATTGGAAGTACTTTTGATTGTTTTTGTAATCACAATAATATTGTCATAATTATAATGTTGTATTGCAAAGTGTCAAACCTCATATCAAAGTGACGGTTGTCGGGAAATGTCAAC